CACTAAATTTAAATGTGAGTTTTCATCCCATGGCAGAGGGAACAGCACATGGCAGTCAGTGAAAGTTGTTAGACAGTTACCAGGGATAAGAAATCTCCTCGTGGCTTTCCTATGCATATTGTGAATATCCTTTTGCCTCAGTCCTCTTTTATGCCTCTTCCAAATGCATAATTTCCCCCCCAATGCCCTCTATATCCATTTTCTGACTTTTCTCAAGCTCATTCCTGCTCCTTGATCTTTTTCTCTCCCCTGATCCCTCCTCTCTCCTCCCTCTTTTTTTTTTCAGTGCAGTAGCAGTTTCCCAGGCAAAATCCTCACAGGGAGAGACAGCACTTCCATGCATCAAGAGGAATATTGCTCTGTTAGGTTTAGACTGTTAATGTAACTTCAGTGAAAATTGGGGGGGGGGGGCATTGCAGGTCATCAGCAAAGGGATATTTTTCATTCTTGTGTTATGGAAAAAGCACACACAGTTTTAGTGATATTTACCTTTTTGTGTTAAGGTTGGAGGTTGGCCCACGGAGCACTCTGACTGCTGGTACCTTCAAAGTATCCCTACAGTAACCTGGTGTGCCCCAGCCCAAGGCAGATATAGAAAATAAATATGTAAACATGCCTGGCATGATGTTATTTGCTTGCATATTTAAATAGCCAAGTAGAACTGTAATACAGTATATAAATAATGAAGGAAACTGTCTTATTCACAAATAAAACTTGCTAAAACCCATGAATTTCCTCTCCTCGAAGTAGATGCATAAAAATTTCTGGTCAAGAAACTTACATCTTATGTAGGAACTTGTTTCTTGCCACATTTGTGACACCCTTGTACGTGTGCCATGTTTGTCACACGGCACAACATGATCAAAAGGAGAGCCTCTGGTTTATCAGAAGCAAAAAAAATAAAACCTAAGTGTCTGAAAAATTAATAAAGATTTAATTAAGCAGTTTTAAACCGGATTTTAAGATGAGCTACGCAACTATTTTGGAAAGAAACCAATGTGTGCAGATTTAAGTTCAGAGAGGCCTCATGGCTGCATATGTTCTGTGAGCACACTTTTCTATCATTATGTCTTCACATTATCTCAGTGCTGTCCACATACACACTTTGAAAGCACCCCACAGGGTTTCCAATTTGTTTTCAAGACTGTTCAGTGAGACACAATTTTAAATGAAAACAATAAAAAACCTAGTTGGTTCATTTCATGGATTTTTTTACATTCTGACAAACGCTCTTCATATTAACTTTGCAGTCTGAAATCGGTTTACAAGTTGCTGTGTGTAATCATATTCAATCTTTGAATTCAACAGAACTCTGTACCTTCCCTGCAATTTATATAAAGTTCTGCTAATTGTCACCTAAGCAAAGGCAGAACCATCAAAACCAGTTTCTGCCTTGCACCAGAAAGTACTTTTATGTATCTACACTTATGTTTCAAAGTTGTTTTCCATAACCCTTCCAGCTTCGTGGAATATGGTAAAAAGATTAACACTAAAAGATGTAATATTCAAGCCACCTCTCCTGGCATCAAGAATTAAACTGTCCTTACAGGCATCTAATTTCAGGATTAGTTGAATCTTTAATGGTTTTTTTGCTTCCTATAAAAAAAAAAAATATGTCCTATGTGGCTCCCATGTGAATAAAGCACTTTACAAACTTGTAAGAAAATGTTCCCAACCAGTATGAGACACAACACACACCTTTCTTTTAACTAGCATTTTCTTTACCTGGCTGCATGCTAGAAGGACTAGATCTGTATCCATTGACAAAAGAAATACTTTTTCTCAAAAGTCGCTGCCCAAATTTTTTTCCTTGCTTCCAGTGGTGTAAATAAAAGGCAATACAACTCCATAAAATGAATCCAAACTCATTATTTTTCCTTTCAGACATTAAAGAAAAAAAAGAGGATGACAGAGTCCTTGTCTACACCTTCTCTCCTTCACTGTTCTTCATTCAGCTACTAAAATTTGAATCCGTGGGTTTGCAAACCCAGGGAAATAAAAAGATTTTCTCCGCATTTTTCTTTTTTGTTTGTTTTGCTTATGCAGGCTTTTCTGAGTTAGTGAATTATTTATCTCTACATAATAATTCAAATAAGTATATTTCCCAGAGGAAGCACATTTCCTTCTTCATGCACACCTTTTTCCTAATTCAAATGGTATTTGAAAGAGTAGAGAAGGAAATGAGGAAATTAAGGAGACAGATAGATAAATCACTGAACAGTTTTTAAAAACACTGCCTGCATTATCTCAGATAAATATGTTTTGTCCTGATTCAGGAATAACAAGAAAATAGATCTGACATATTATGCATTAAATAAATTCAGCTTCAGCCTCTTTTTTTTAGTGTCCAGGTCCATCAGGAGATGAGAAGAGTGCAAAGATGTAAGCAAGCCCCTTTCTTATAGACACTTTATACACAGACACATATATATAGAAAAAAGAATTCTTAAAATACATAAAATAGCAGACACAAAAATAAAATAGGTATTTCTAGCTATTATTGACTGCTTTGAGATTTTCCCAGAAATTCACCCATTTCTGGAGCTTCCCTTTAAGAAATTAAATTTGAGAGGGTTTTTTTTCAGCAAGAAATAGTGCTAATACTTCATATCCTTCCACAACCTCTTTTAATCAGAACATTTGAATTAAAAAAATAAAGTAAACTATCTTATCCCACAGTGATATTTTCACATCATATAAAGTAGTGTATTGCATCATTTGTACTGAAGTACTTGAAGAAGTGAGACAGCTTTCTACAAGGTCAGGCAGAGACACAGAACTCAGTGTATCTTATCTTTAATGTCCTAGGAGTCAGTGAGAGGCTCCTCCCGTTCGTACTGACAGAAATTCTTGTTTAAATAGAAGAATCAGTCCTTCTGGCCCCTTTGTAACACCTGCATCTGAACTGGACTGCCACAGGAAGTTTTGGCAAAGTAATACCTGACTATGGATGGAATTCCACTCCAGAATTTTTGGTTCACATGCACACTCATACATGTATATGCACGTCTACATGTAGCTTTATGTGTATATATGCTTGCAAATACACATGCACGGAGATGCAAACGGATAGGATGAGAGATTAATTGTAAAAGGAAAAATGAAATAGAAGTTTAAAGTTTGGAACAGTCTAAAAGCCATCTCATACTCTTAAAAAAGAGCGTCTGTTTGGGCTGCACTTGAAGTGGAAACTAAATTGCTTTTAACAGCTAACCTTTGGAATATCTGACAAAAAAAGCATTCTGCCTCCTTATGGTTTTTTGCAGAGAGAAGGATGTGGGCCATGACCTGGTTGCCAGGCAACTGCAGGCAATTACAAAACATCTTAATATGTTCTGCCCTGTGGTACCACGAGTCCACACTGCAAAAGAGACCAAGTGACGTGGCTCTCTCCCAGCACAAAAGGGGTTTGGAGTGCTCTAGGGAGACCAAGAAAGTGTGAGTGGGACTGAAATTGTACAAACTGAAGTTCCCTCACGACCAGCTCTTTGTAAGGCTGAGTAACCCCAAATCAAAGGAAGCAGCGAGGTTTGTTTGTCATCATCCCAGCGTGGGGCGTTGAACTACTCACTGTCCCACCTGGAATGAAGAATGGCTACTTATCCATCAAGGGAAAAAGGGAAAATATGCACACCTTTGCTAGTGACAAGCAATGTTAATGCTTGGAAGCATCACTGTAAGGGTTTTTTTTTTCTTCTTTTCAAAATCCTTGACTTTTAACACACAAATTCTTATACATTCCATTTTCCTCTCTAAAACACTATTTTTTTCCCCACATGCAAATTGAGGTTTCCTATCAAACTGAAGAGATATGAGTTGTTGAGCTGTAGTTGTCTGAGATACAGCCACCAAGGACAGATTTCCTTTTGGATGTGTACTTACCTCTCCATAAAATTCAGACTCTTCAGAGTAGCAATGCTTTTTCAGCCATACCTACACATACAGCAGATACACCTACACCACATACAGATAAAAATCATATATCCATCATTATGTTTCTTGATTCTGTATCCCTACATAGATTATCCTAAAAATAGCAGGTATGAAGATCTGCAGGGATTTCCCCAGTCACCATCCTTCAAGAGGTGTTTAATCACACTGAAAATGAGTGGCAACCAATGTCCAATTCCAAGGTGTCCAAGAAATCCTCAGGCTAAACATAATCAGTACCTACACATTTAATCAAATTCTCCACACCAACATGGCTTTATATGCAGTTCTGTCTCACCTGATCTTCACTGTCACCTAGGAAAAGGGACATACAAAAGCTGAAACCATACATGCATGCATGCATACCTCAGATTATGATCCCATGGCTAGAGGAAAGCTTCTAGCAATAAACCTTTTGGAGGTAATAGAAAACAAAAAATAACCTCACAACACCTCCCCTCCCCCCAGTATTTTTTTGTTGCTTTTCTAACAGTAAACAGATTTCTTACATTAATTATCTGCCGGTGATATACCAAATAAATGATGCATATTCCCAGGGAGCAGAGGGCTACTCAACCATTCACTGGCTTCAGGTATGCTGAATAAATAAAATACAATAATAACAAAAAATGAAAAAGCAAGCTGGTTTGTTGCTGATTTATAAGGTAGAGTTTTTTCATGTTGTGAACACCAACTCCAAGCCATCCCTTGGCACAGCAGCAATAAACAGCTATAGCAACAGCAGATATGCTGTCAGGACTGCTGAGTGCTTTAGAAGGGTGAAACAAATGCCAGGTAGGACAGCTTACCTCATTCCTCTGGGACATGCACATGGAGATCCATGTCCCTTCTTGACAGATGACTGAAACAGTTTCAGTGACCTTTTAAGTTAAGGCGTGTCATGTGCAAAGAAATGTTACCTTTGTCACCACTAGGAACTATTTCCAATTAACTGAATCCCAAAAGTGATGACCCTCTTTATCTCCATCCCTCAGAACCCAATCCTGTCAATGCTTCAGTGTTCGGAAAATGGACTGGTTGTGATAGCAGTTAGGAAAAAAACAACAACAAAAAGAACCAAATAAACATCTTTTATTGTTTAAATTAGTAGATTTGAAATGGCATTACTGAAAGGTAATACATGGACCCCCATCCAGAGTTCCCTTTTTACAGTTGCACTTATGGGTTGTACTTCAACTATGGCTACACAGATATTTCTCCCCTCCCCCCCTCCCAGCTGCCCCTTAATCTTAATTTAAAAACCTAATCTGCCATAAAGGTACATGAAATAGAACAGACTGAGAAAATACTGGAGATTGGCTGTTGTTTACAAAGAAACTATGCAGTTACTGGTCCTGTACAACAAGAGTTCAAAAACTGGACTGTATTACCAAGCATTTCTTCAAACATCCCTTTTGGATTATGGCTGGAAGGTACTAGTTGGTCTATTCTAGACTAATTGACAAACATTCATAAAACAGTGAAAAATGCATGCTTTAGAAACCTGGAACATTTCATGACTTCGCACTAAAAAGAAGAGGAAGGTGGAAGCAGGTGAACGGCGTTTTTAATGTAGGTTAGTAGTGTTCAGAGTTTTTTTTCTTTTGTACTAACAGACTCCTCAGATTTTTTCTCATTTCTTTCAGGTGACTTTTTGTCTTCGGATTTAGTCCGTGGAAGGCTGTGCAACTTCTGTGGAGGCGAAAAAAGCATCAGTGTAAGCACTGTGTACTCTCTCTCTGTGTATGTATAAACACATAAACAGATAAAAAAGTGTGTTAAAAATCCGTGGCATTAGTGCACACAGAGCTGTATTTCTGTTAAACTGAGGTACCAGCCTTAAACTACAACAGCAGAATATGATATTTGCCAGCTGCACCCAGAAAAGGATTCTAATCTCAAATAAAAGAAGCATATTTAACAATCTTTAGAGTGCAAAAGCATACAAGTGTAATGCTGCTTTATAATCATGACGGTTTTGACCTTCTCTTGGTCCATCAAATGAACAGCTCTGATGCACAACAAAATGCAGTCAAAATCTGAACTAAGAAAGTGGTCTTCTGAGACAAAATTTAGTGCAGAATGTGCAAATACACTTCACAAGACCTTTTAATTAAACCCCAGCAGTTACTCAGAAAGAGGAATACCTGAAGGCTTGTCTCTGTTTCTGCTGCCTTCAAGTGAGATGTCGAGTTACTGCGATTCCCCAAACACGTCTTGGCAACCTGTCAATACAAATGCCAGAAATAACTACTTCGTATTTTCTCCTAAAATATTTATGGTTTTCTTTAAAAGCAAAAAAAAACCCAAAAAAACCCAACAACAACCAAAAAAAAAAAAGAAGAAGAAGAAGAAGAAAAAAAAAGAAGGAAAGTAGAAAAAATCACTGGGTCTTCTTTTAAGCCTAGTTGATGAAACAAGACTTAAATCCCAGGCTCCCATCATCTCTATAACAGTCTAATGTGGCAGCAAGTTTAACAACTTAATGCTTATCCAGCTGTTCTTTCTCATGTTGAAATCTCATCACAAATAGTGAAATTTTACTCCTATGAGTGGAACAGAAAAGTGATTATAATTGTCTTTTATGGGTTAGGAAATAGCAACAAACAGGTGAAAACCAGCATTACATTTAGGAGTTCTCTATTACTACACTCTTGTCTAAACTACCAGATCTCTTGGGTATAATAATCCCTGACTGGGGATGTGTATTCACGGAATGGGAAAGTCAGATGACTTTCAAGGTATGGAAAAGCTTGTGACGTTAATTGTTGTCTTTTTATTCCAGGAATAGTGTCATATTCTTTGCCTGTATGCTTTTTAATGTCTGGGAAAACAGAGTTGCACAGCATAAATAAAATTAATTAGTCAGTAGATTTCTGAACCGAAGAGATGTCCTGTTATGAAAGTAGAGATTTACCCAGTGCTGAAATTTCAACCATAATTAAACCAAAGTCCCTTCAGGAGTAGGAGTAATGATGCCATAGGAAAAGCTCTAAAACACAGCGCTGAGAATCCAAATGGTGAAAATGAAACCTTTAACAAAGAGAAGGATTCAGGAAAAAAACCCCTGTTATTCAAGTGTGTTTGATGGCTGCCCAGGCTGTTTCGCTGTTTTCACTGTTCCTAACTCTTCTCAAACATCTCCTTAAAATTTAGCTTGGCCAACATTCACAATTTTTATGACTAAGTACAACAAAGTTCTTACGATGTTTTTCCTCTACATGGCAGACAGACAGACCACATTTAGTGCTGTTGTACACTTGCTGCTTGCTCTGCATAAACTTCAGGAAACACGTTAATGATCTATTTGGATTTATAAAATCGAGTTTTCCAACGAGTGCGTTTTGCCTTAAGCAGTAGGTTTTGCCTCTATAACGTGAAATAAAATCGAGGGTGGTAAGTGAGAAATTTAATATGACAGAAAAATTGAGGTGCCTCGACGACAGGCTTGAAATGCTGCGTTGTTTTTTGTCAGCTCAGCACGGGGTCTGATCTCTGGGTGAAATTCTGGTTGTGAAGCGTGCAGCTTGATCAGTAACGTACACAACATTTCAGAGGTTCCAGCAATTCAGTTCACCCAGGTAAATTATACATCAGAGCTGGAGAGCTTCGCAGCTGGGTGCATAAACTCCAAATGTGGATAAACCAAATGTGTGTCTTCTCTTAAAAAGCATTTTTGACAAGCCACTTGGAACTCAGCAGGTCCCTTGGCTATTGAACTGTGCAACTTGAGCTGCAGACAGTTGAACAATGTAACTAGAAGGGTTTTCCACTGCACCAGTACAAGAACGGGCTTTATGGTCAAATTAATGTAATAATTTAAGGTCAAATACCCAAACTGCATGCAGGCAGGAAATCAAGTTTAAATATGTGATATTAGAACAGCTTTTGCAGTTGAAAAATAATCCAGCTGCTGCTGAAGGGCATCATACAGATTTACTTGACCAGATTTACTTTCAGTGTTCCTTGGCATCACCACTACCCTCCTTTTGGCTTCAGGGGGCACCCAAAGCAGGGTGTTTGTAGGGTGTGACGGGGGGATAATGCAGGGAGCTGGTTCTGGGGACAGCAAACCAGAGAGAGGAGAAAAGGACAGCGTGGTTATAACCAGCTAGTTATGTTAGTTGTCACTAGCCAAGGTAGGTTCACAGTTTATTCAAGGAGGTGTTTTATCAGATCTGCTCATGGATTTGTGGCAGCTCTGTGTTTCAAGCTCCTTTAACCCTCACTGTTTAAAAGAAAGACACAGAGCAAGAAGTATATGAAGTGTGCAAATGCCTTTTCATAAGACAGCTCGGCAGTTTTTCACATCTTCCTCCTGTTTCAGACCACAGTGTACTGAGGGTATGGTTAAACTCAGATGATGTAACTTCTTACGACCTCCACAGTCCTCATTTAGGGAACGGAATTTACTTTAAGAATTTTATTAGTTTGAAGTTTTGTTATGGCAATGGTTTCTTTTTTTTCTATTATTACTCCCTCGTGGAAACAATGGGAGAGTAAAATGTGATCAAAGCTCTGCAACTGAAACTGAGAGAGAAAAATGAAGCAAAATGCCGTGGTTGCTTAGGAACATGTGCAAGTTTGGCTCCAGTACTCAGTGTCATTTGTCTCTGAATGATTAATGAACATGTAGTGTTTGTTTACTGCAGGAAATTAATGCAGTAAATAAAAGCACTATCACTTTTATTTATCAGAAAAGACCCTACGAGGACAAAGAGCAAGAAACCTAAGATGAGAACAGACAACAGAGAATCATTTTATAAATAGTTCAATTTTTTAGCAATACCAAATAGGTAGTTTTAAATTATATGTTACACTCGTAAGAATTATTTGATAGGAAAAGGAAACAAAACCCATCCTGGTGGCGTAAAAGCCAAAATAAACTCCCGAAAGTTTTTGGGAAGACAGAAAAGGGAAATGATACAGGGCAAAGAGCTCTGCAGAACTCTGATTCTGCAAAAACTTTGGTTCTACAGAGAGGTAGTTATAGGGCAAACATCTCTGGATAAGGCTAAGAAAAAGTAGTATTGACAAGATTCCCCCAATAAAATAAAATTAATCTAAATAATGAGAACTTTTAAAAGAAAACTGAAGTTAACTTTTTTTGGTCTTTGACAAATTTCAGATTATATATAAAAGGATATCCTACCTGCTTCTGGTTACTACTGGTCATGCCAAATGTCATGACAGGTAAATATCAGCAGTGTCTAATTTCCAAATTTGCTGATATAATTTCACCTATCTACATTCCATTTGCCAGTAAATCTTAATTTGTATTCATTCTAATGTGAACTACATTAATTACTGTAAACAGGCATAAAACCATACAGACAAAACTGCAGTAGGACTACAGGGTAAAAAATATCAGTTGAAACCAGCAACTAAACATTTTGCTTTATTTTCTGCCTTAATATCTGTAATATTCCTTGTTCCTCTGTAGTTAGTCTTTAGTACAGTAATTCCTCCAAAACATAAATCACATTTTGTTTATCAGAGACACAATCAGAGGATCTTTGCAAAGTTCTGAGAAAGTACTGCTGAAATATTAGGTTTCTAAGCAACAGAGTTTTAATAACATCTTCATTTATTTTTCTTAAACAAATGGTGAATTAGAACCTGTCATATGTTCTCGACCTTCCAGGCTTATTCTTCCTTCACTGGGAGTTAAGCAGCTGTAAAATCTTCAGAAACAAACACAAACCCACAACCAAGTAATGATAAAACTCCAACAAAAACTCTTCCCAAGTGTGGAATTTTCTTAAAGTGATAGTGCTCACAGGTACAAATTACAGCTTGGTATTACTGAAGTAACAGGATCCTTTGGGAGAATAAATTCCTTCTAGTTCTTTCAGAGCTACAGGTGGCATCTCTCATGTCATCATGCAAAGGGTAATTGTAGAGAGAGACATTTTTAGTTCAATTTTCAAAACTGACTAATTTGAATTCTTCCTTGTCTCTAAATATATATATATATATGTGTGTTAATGTGAGAGAGAAATAATACCAACAATAAAAATAGGTGGGAAGAGGTTGCTAACCCAACATCATCAGCTGCACTATTTTTATGCCCACGTTAGCTCATGTTCAGGTGGACAGCGTGTACAGCATAAAGAAAAAAGTTTCAATTTAAACAAACAACCAGGAAAATTACTGTAGTCATCAGTGTGAGCAGACCACAGGATTAAAAGGGGTCAAGAATGGACCTTAGACCGTGTAAAGTAGTTGGAACAGTTACAAAAAACATAGTGCTTTAGCTCTCTTTGAAAATTTTCCTGCTTTCCTTTAGTCAGTCCTTCAATTTACAAGAAAATTTTCCCATTTTCATTATTGAATCTTCTGTGGTATTTAAGGTGGAGGGGATGCTGACAAACTGGAATGTTTTATTCTCCCACAATGGCCTAAGATTTTTACATCCGTATACAAAAAAGATACATCATAAAAGTCTCACGTGTAAAGAGAACACGTCTTCCTGTATTTTGAGTTTTTTAATTACACTGGAGATTCTGTTCCTGGCTGGGGTAAATACCACAGTATTTACGAGTTCCTTGCCTAGAAGTGTGGTTGTCCTCACAAAACTTTTTGTAAGTTTGCTGTCAAAGCCATTCCTTCAGCAGACACTGCAAGCACAGCATGTTGTGCATGTGAATCCTAGATTAATTTCTTTTTTTAAATGTGAACACAATGATACTATGAATATTACATAATGCTCAATTTTCAGTAGAAAAGCGAATTTATTAGCAGGAACATGTTTAGGAGCAAGATAAGACTGAGAAAAGCAGAAAAGCATTGCCTGCTTAATTTTACAATAAGGAGCATTATCTAGCAAGGCACAGTTAATTTGAATACCCCTAAGGTATGCTTGCTTTCATTTTACTACTTTTTCCTCCATGCAGGAGGTTTTGTCAAACACAGACTTAACAAATCTTAAAGATTTAGAACTTAAAGGAAATGTGAGTCCCACAGAATATAGAATTGGTCTTAAAATATGCTAATTGAGAGATTAAATGATATAAAATTTAATCCTATTACTCGAATTCAGATAGATAGCCTAATTTCTTTTTACTTGAATTATTATGTTACTTAGACAAACGCAGGGAACAGGGTTAGATTTTAATTTAAATTGAATCTTGAAAACCAGTTCAACTCATCAACACTTCTAACTCCAATTGGAGTCATCTGCCTGCCCTGAAAAATTTCTAATACCAAGCAGCATTCCAGGCTGACTACATGGCTAAAAACACCAGTTGCTAGAAGTGCAAAAAGCAACCACCCCCTAAACAAAACCACAAAATCCTTGATTTTATGGAAAAGTGCACCTTTTAGGTGCCTTTACTTGGTAGAGAAATAAAATCCTCTTTTGATTTTTGAAATGTGTTAACAGTCTTTTTCTTTTTCTTTCTCCTTTAATTTATTCACTCCTATAAAAAAAGAGCTCTCTGAGCCTCTTTACACAAATTTTCAGCCTAAATTAATTCAGTCTCTGCCTAAAGTAACCTACATTTCATCAAACCTCCTATAAGTTTCCTAAGTGATAACTAACCTGTAGTCATAATCTAAATGGAGTTCACTCCAACCTCCTAATTTCATGTGATTTTCTTCTCCTCCTTCAATTTTTATTAACGAAATTAAGTTTCCTTTACCTTCAGACATTAAACAACATGCAACAGCAAATTATGCACTCTTCTGGATATACATTTTCCCCTTGTCCCTGCCCCCCTCTAAAGGATGTGGTAGAGGGAAAGTAACTTATAACTGAATAAACTTGAACATATTTGTGATAAGTGGATACTGTATGCAGGGGTTTTACCATTTGTTGAATGCTGAATTATCTAAGATTCGTTTTCCAATGTTTTGTTCACACTACCATGAACAAGTTACCTCCACAGGAGTTTGTTGTATCTGGAGATACAACAATATATTCAATATATATCCATTTCACCTGCAAATTAGTCAAGGTAGCACTGTGCTTTTGGGCCTGTTGAGCAGACAACCAGCTCTCTCAGCAAATTCTGCCTCCGTCCTTTTTTCTGATTCTTTTTTTCCAGTTTTATTTATTTAAAATCTGTGTACCATTTTGGATTGGAAAAGCCCCGTTGACAGCTGCCTGAGGCATTGATGTTTTCATACAGCCTAGTTTAGACCCCGGTTTCCAGGTGAGTTAATCTTACATTTTGAGAATCACACTCCTGGGTGCTCTGATTTTCTTTCTTTGTCAAGGCCACAGGAAAATTCTCTTTCTCTGCTGAGACATTTCGACGAACCTGGGAAATAAAAAAATGAAATCATGATTGAAATAATAATTAAAATTATAATAATTAAAATAATAATAATAATTTTAAAAAGCTAATATAATTGAGACAAAAATATCGATTAAGTCACATTTGAAAAATCAGGGTAATGATGAAAAACAGAAAGGGCAGATACTGCAAACTGTTAATTATTTTATACACTGCATTTTCAGGTAATTTTATAAAGGGCATGTCTTAATATACATTCTCATTAAAGCACTCCCTTGTAAAGCTGTACTTCCATATATATATAATCAAGATATTCTATCTAAATGCCATAGGAGAAAAAAAAACCATTTTCAGAACTCGTATTCCCGTGACTTCTGTGGATTCTGGGAAATACTGAGACGCTGAGCTGACAAGTCCATGAGCTGATTTAGCTTAATTCAGACTTCCACAGTCTCTCTCTGCTGGGACCTCCCGTCTCTGCAAGCTGGCAGAACATGTTCCTTTTCATGCCTTTCACTCCTCTCCTCGCACTCAAAATGGGCTGCTGGCCGAGTCAGGCACTCTGCAGTCCAGGCTATTGTTTTATATAAACAGTGAATTTCCTTCCCCCGAAATACCGCTGGGTTTATTGTGGTTTTCTGCATTTCCCGCAACTCTTAAAATTAAAAGGCACCAAAAAAAAAAAAATATGCACTGAAACTATCCTTAGGGATTTGGCTTTCATCAAACCATCTGCAAGACACACTGAAACTCTGGAGTCAGGGAAAAAAAGCAAAATAATTTCTCTGTACGGAGAAGTTAAAATTCAGACACCAGTTTAGAAATCTTGAAGTGTCCTTTCTCGTGTCCCTTATGAATGACTAAGTCACAGAGTTTTCATAAATGATGGAGGACAGGAGAAACCAAACCTGGCAGGTCACTATTTACAATTTAACTTGAATCATGAAAAATAGTCCGACTCACAGTCGAAATAAAACAGTTCAAACAGTCTCTGGTTAACAGCTCTCCAACGAGGATTTGTTAGTTTTATACTGACTACCAGGGAAGAAATGAGGGGGTGAACAGATAAAAAAGATCCATATAAATAATTGTTTTGTTAAATAATAAATGCCTTCTAATACACGTATTGAGCGATTTTTCTGTTTGGACTGAAAGAAATGACAGTTCTGCAAACCTAGATTTCTTCCCCCTGAATAAAAGAAGGTACAGTAAATGACAGTGCGTGTGTTCTCCTGATTTCTTGACTGCTTGAGCCAGTAAATCTACACGGGATGCCAGAGAAACCAGGCAGCTGGAAGCCTTATTAATTAAGGGGAATAAATGCCTGTGCCCAGCAGTGCTTCTTGTTTCAGAATTTGATTCCTGCTTAAGATTGTACCTTAGCAAATGATACACAACTTCTCAGCACGGTGCACTCATTTCTACAGGACAAGGGCAAATTTGAGAGTTTTAGGTGAGGCTGTTGTCAAGAAAGCACTTTCCCAGTGTCAGGTTTTCAGATGTTTACAGAATTTCCCATCTGTAGGAGAGTGGAAAACAGGAAAATTTCCAATTTTCATCCTCTTTAATTTTCAAAAGTGTGAAGTGCATTTTCATACGCTAGAAGTCCCCCTCTTTTCTCTCTCCCAAAACAAAACACAAGGGTTTTTTTGAGGTGTTTCAATTTTTTGTATGATTGCCTTGGCCAGCAGGATCAGATTCTGTAAGAAACTTTAAAAATAATTTGCCATAGCTGCACTGCTCAGACACCAGCCAAACCTGGGAGCAGTAAATGGGCCCTTTAAATTTGAGTTATGTCCTTTTGGCCAGAACACCAGGGGGCTTATTGCATCTTATTTAGGTGGTTTTTAACCTATAACATTTTAGGACTAAGACTGACTTCTTACCTGAAAAAGAAAGTTTTTTGAAGGCTTATCTGCTTGCTGATGATGTGGGAGCCTTAGAGGAAGACTTTGCAAACAGGATCCTTGTTATTAAAAATAATCTCTCATAAAAAATTGAATATGCTATTATTTGTCTGACTGAGGCCTATTTACTAGAGAGATAGCTAACCTAATAAAAATGCCATCAAGTATTCCAGAGTAAAATGGTTTGGATACAGATTATGAACTCCTTTCCAATTTACTTAAAGACTTCTGAACCCTCCTCAAAGCTTTTCAATACAGGATTTCAAATGCAAACATTTTTTTTTTCAAGGAGCATGAAACCTTTTATCTTTTTTTTCCCCTTTGCAATAATTTAGGAGTTACAGCATCCTCCTGGTGAAACCTTACAAGCTTGACTGAAAACCAAGCTTTGCATTTCACATACTTAAATAATTGTTTACAATGCATTGAAGGTATATGCAGAGGAAACTAGAGCCTGTCCATGAGTACTTTGCTTGCAGAAAAACTTGCAGAGAAGCAAGTCAAACTCTTTATTTCTGTGAGTGATCTTTCAAAGTCTGCACTGGAAAAAATAAGAGCCCAGTTCTGCTTCATGCCTTTGAAAATTCCTTCAATTATGCTTTATATATATATATATTTCAGTTCTATTATCAAACAGCTTCTCTTCTCAAAGCGCCAACTATTATTACAACACCGTCATCTTCACTGCTAAATAAAACTGCAAAATTAGGTCAGCTGAATTCCACCTTTCAGAAGGTTTTTTGACTGATATGTAGCTCAGTTCTTTCCTACATCAGTAATAGACTTGTCATGACTTTTTGGCATGACTGCACCGCCCCCAGTCTCTAGTGAGCAGTTGTTCCTGAGAGATGCCTGTGGGCAGGACTGCCAGATGACCTGCCAACACCAATATGGGTCACATCAAGGCAATTATTTTCTGTTAGACTGCCACAGGTTACTCTTTTCTACAAGTAAGGGTTTCTAGGGGCAATTAATTACCACATTTAAACAAAAAAAAAATAAATATGGGTGCTCATGCTGATCTAACAGGAAGATGGCACAGCATCTTCAGTGTAAGCAAACTAACTAACCAGCTTCTGGCTGTGTGCAAGTTTATGAAATCCGAGGTCCAAAGAAACCCAGTTCTATGACAGCCATGGTAGTTTTCCTCTAATGATGGGCAATCACCCAATATGCCCATTCATAGCCCGTTTTAATAAAACTTCAGATACAGAAATCACTGGTGTTTGTCCAGAAGCACTTTTTTTTTTTTTTTCCCCTGAAAGTTCCACTGGCCCAGTCTACAAACGTTTAAAAAATACCTACAGCAAAGTCTTTACCTGGCAGCCAGTCTTTGGAGTGCTGGCTGCACTTGTCTGCCCCTCTTGACATTTGTTCAGCACGCTGAGCGAGGCCAATCTCAGAGATCCCCCTGGGCTGAGGGTGCTTCTCTACCCACCCTCCACCAAGGTTACTAACCAGGTGGTCTGTGAAGGGGCTACAAACAGGGAACAAGACAGAAGTCATCCCCACTTCTCAGTTTTGTATTCCTCTGGGACCTGTCTTCTCCTTTCGAGATGGAAATGGCTTGATGTCATGTCTAGGAAATCCCAAATTGCTCGAGGATTTGCAGCGCTTACTGTAAAAAAAACTAGAGCAGTTTTGTATGTAGCAGGTAGACAAAGCTGTCACAGCTTTTCTGGGCAAGGTGCATGGATCAAGAGCCAGAAATATCACTTTTCCAGAGGCTGTTCAGTCTGACTGCTCCTGGAAACCAGGGACTTTGTACACCACACACACACACACACACACACAGAGGCCAGCTGCCATCTAACGCCCCACACATTTATTTTGGTCACAAAAAAGGTGCTAATCCTATCACTTTTTCTTTTCCCCTTTTTTTTTGAGTAGCACCACTTGCAATTACAAAGGCCCACAGGGTCATTTTGGAGTGCAAGACAGACATTCAATTTGGGCTTCCAGCCCCACAAATTTCATAGAATCATAGACTGGCTTGGGCTGGAAGGGACTTTAAAGAACATCTTGTTCCAAATTTGAGGCATTTTAAAATAATTGTGTGTCTATTACATCTTTCCTCAACAGAAATCACAGATAAGTATGTATTTATATGTATAGTATAAAAAAAAATCATTGCATTGCATTCCTTTATATCCTGATTTAAAAATCTTCCAGAGTAACACACATTCAAAAACAATTGAGAAGTGAATACTAACAACAACAATAAAACTTCATATTTCTGTAAGAGTGATGGTCACTGTATATGTATATACATATATTTGGTGTGTTTTGAAGTAGAGATAACTAGCTTTTCTCTGCTGCACAGTCAATATTATTCAACAGTAAGTGTGAAAGACACACTTTAGTTTTTATCTCTATTTAATGCACGTCTACAGAGATACATTTATATAGGGCAATTTAAAGGGCTGCAAATCCTAGGACATAGGATATATATACTGTTTCTAAGTAAACACATTTACCCCTGGTGATTTCCTTTATTTTTTTTTGTTTCAATTTGCACTCTATTCAAATAGCTTTAAGGTGGAAAATAGCTCCTTATTTCTATGCCAACACTGAGCATTCAGCACAACTCTAAGAAGTTTTGCAAGTGATCCAGAACAACCTCACCTTCATCAGAAGTGGAAATCGTTAGGGTATCTTTAACATGGACACCAACAGATCACATTTTATCCACCTCACATTCCACAGGCGTTTGGGTTGGTTGTAATGAGATGAACACTCACAATAATCTCAACTGGCTGAACATCCATCAGAGTGAAAGGGCTTTTCATAATAGACCATTGGGGATGATAGATGACATATTTAGCTGTCAAATTCCCAGATCATCCTTGTCATAGCATTACTGTGAGTGCAGAATTTCCCCTCATACATGCAACTGCCTCCTAGTAAATTATGTTGGACGTTATATACATTACTGGTTTAAATTTTTATTCTGTTAAGGTTTCTGGAGTCCTTTTTCCATGCATGTTGTGCACTAAATTCTGCTGTTTTTTTCTAATACAACTTATTTAAGACAACTTCAGCACATGTTTTCTAACAGAAGCTTAAACCAACATTTTCAGTTTCCTCACTTCCTTGGAACAACTGCAGTTTCTTATT